TGGACCAGGACTTGGTGTCTCCAGGTGGAAAGTTCTGGTGGCAGCCAGCCCTGCTTCCTTGTTTCTGGAGCCCTGGACCCACAACCTTCAGTCCTCCGCCGGTATGTCTCTCTGGCTCCACAAGGTGGCAGTATTGCACCGTTGTAGGCGCACCTGCCCCGAGCTTGGGGAGTGCGGATCCCAGGTAAGAACCTGCCCGCTCAGTTTTCTGCAAACAACCCGGAGCTTCTCTGCGACTTTCTTTAAATCTTTAAAGTGGGGGTGATAATAGGTCCTACTTCGTAGGGTGCTGGGGAGATTAAATGAGTTCACATTTATAAAGAGCCCAGAATAATGCTTGGCAAACGATAAAGTACGTTATTAGAGTAACTATGATGATGACGTTGGCGGTCAGGATGATGAATGACTCATTTTGTTGTGTTGTTTGTGATTTGCGACTTTCTTTCCCTCTGATCTCTTTATATCCACGTCTCTGTGTGTCCATGCCTCCACTTTTTCCCCGCCGAGGTCACAAACTCAGCCACCTCCTGGGGCCAGGCAGGAAGTATAAATGAGGGAAGCTGACTGTGTGGGGGCCAGGGAAAACCGCAGGGTGCCCCGGGGTGGCCACTCAGCACGTGCTGATGCGGGGTTATGGCCGCGTGGGAATGCAGGCGTGATGTTGACTGATAACCGTGGCCTTTTCAAGAGAAACTTGAAATCTCCTGACCTTTTAATGCTCCTGATCCATTCAAACAAACAAGCCAACAAAAAAGTCCAGAATCTAACAGGCCAGATGTGTCTGCAGCCTCCATTTACTCAAGAGCGCCCTCTATGGGTGGCCCCGGTAGAGATCCTAAGGAATTACAATGAATTTCACTCCATAACCAGAGGAGCCAGAAAGCAACATAGTCCTTTTATGAAACAAAAATAATAAGCCTCTCTCGAGACCATCTTGGTCAACATGGTGAAAACCCGTCTCTACTAAAAATACAAAAAATTAGCTGGGCATGGTGGCGCGTGCCTGTAATCCCAGCTACTCCGGAGGCTGAGGCAGGAGAATTGCCTGAACCCAGGAGGCGGAGGTTCCAGTGAGCCGAGATCGCGCCATTGCACTCCAGCCTGGGTAACAAGAGCGAAACTCCATTTCGAAAGAAAAGAAAAGAAAGAAAGAAACCCCAGCCTGCAGGGCGTGGTGGCTCATGCCTGTAATCCTAGCACAAGGGCTGAAGGTAATCACAAAGATCACCTGATCACCCATAAGAGAGAGACAGAAGAGTCGGTCAGAGAAGGCGGGTGAGTACATGAAGCAGAGGTGAGGATGATGGGACTGCTGGCTTTGAAGATGGAGGAAGCGGCCACCAGCCAAGGCATGCAGGTGACATCTTAAAGCTGGAAACAGTGAAGAAACAGAGCCTCCTCTGAGGCATCCTGAAGGAATCAGATCCACACTTTGACTTTAGCTCAGTGAGACTGGCTTTGGACTCATGACCTCTGGCATTGTAAGAGAATGTGTCTCTTGTTTTCAGCCACTAAGTTTGTGGTAATTACAACAGCAGCAATGGGAAATGAATCTAGACTTACATACTTGACAACAAATAAAATCAGGGTAAAGAGGAGGAGCCATTCTAGACAGGGGCTCAGGAGAGAACATTTAAGAAGAAACCTGGACCAGGTGCAGTGCCTCATGCCTATAATCCCAGCACCTTGTGAGGCTGAGGCAGGCAGATCACTTGAGCCCACGAGTTCAAGACCAACCTGGGCAACTTGTGGGACCCTGTCTCAAAAAAAAATTTTTTTTTAATTAAAAAGGAAAAAGAAACAGGTAAAATTAATCTTAGTAACTTACTTAACTTGATATAGTCAAACTTGTCATTTCCACATGTAACCAATGTTAAAAACATCAATGAGAATTTATATTCTTTATTCCACACCAGATCTTCACAATTCAGTATTTTTACACTCCCAGCACATCTCAATTTGGATGCTATGTTTTTTTCAGAAATATTTGATCTGCACTCAGAGCCCAGAAACCTTAGAGTTGAAAAAGATGATTCATGCACCCAGGTTGTTCTAAACTCACTTAATTAAAACTCTTTCCCACCTGCATTCTGATCCAGGGAGACAGACAGAGACAGAGTTGAAAGACTAGGCAATAAATAGTGCTGTGGGTGGTGAGAAATCAGAGACAAGGACATAGAAACAGGGGACAGAGACCAACACAGATAGGAAAACAAAGACCGAGAGACATGAGAGAAGACAAGGAAAGCAGAGACAGAAAAAGACGGACAGAGACACCGGTGCCGAGCCACAGACAGAGAGACAGAGACAGCCAAGGAGAGACAGAGATGGGAGGAGAGACACAGACGTGGAGCCACAGACAGAGGCAGAGAAGGCAAGGAGAGACAGAGACAGAGGAAAAAGAGACACACAGGGCCAGAGAGAGACAGAGATCAGAGGGTCACAGAGGTCTGAGGCAGAGTGAGAGAGACAGAGTCAGAGAGAGACAGAGACGGAAAAGAGAGAGAGACGCACCAGGGTTCCTGTCCCGCGGCCCCAGCCTTGTCCGGTCCTGCCCAGAGTTATTTGGGGGTGCATGGGCCCAGGACAGAGTTGGGGGAGGGTCTCACTGGGGATGCTTCCAGTCTAGCAGGTGGGAGAAACAGAGACAAGAGGGGGAGAGAGACAGAGATAGGGCCCAAGAGATAGGTAAAAAGAGAGCCAGAGGCTGGGTGCGGTGGCTCACACCGGTAATCCCAGCACTTTGGGAGGCTGAGGCGGGTGGATCACAAAGTCAAGAGATTGAGACCAACCTGACCGACATGGTGAAACTCCATCTCTACTAAAAACACAAAAATTAGCCGGGCATGTTGGCAGATACCTGTAATCCCAGCTACTCGGGAGGCTGAGGCAGGAGAATTGCTTGAACTCGGGAGGCCGAGGTTGCAGTGAGCCGAGATCGCACCACTGCACTCCAGCCTGGCTACAGAGCCCGACTCCTTCATCTCAAAAAAAAAAAAAAAAAAAAAGCCAGAGAGAGAGAGACAGAGACACGGGGTGCAGTGTGAAGGAGAGAAGGAAGGAAGGAGAAAGAATGTTAAAGAGACAGAGACAAGACCTAGGAGAGGCAGAGAGAGACACGGGGACATTCATGCCTCATCGCGGTCATCTGCCGGCACCACCCTCATCCGCGCCATATGTGCGGTCTACACCCACCCACTCCTTGGGTGATCTCATCCGGCCTCGTGGCTGTAAACACCACCTCTCCCCTAATGAGTCCCCACTGTTTCTTTCTCACCAGTCCTGACCTTGACCTGCCCCTCCGTGCTCTACTGCACCCCACACACATCTGTGCTCGTGTCTCCACAAGATCCGCAGAGGCGCGGCAGTGCAGGGGCTGAGACCAAGTCTCCACGCCATCCCTGGCCCCCCACTTTCCATCCATCGGGCAGTAACTTGGCTCTACATGCAGAGGGGACCCCACATCCATTCACCTGTCTTCTCCCTTGACCCTGTCACCTCCCACCTGGGCTGTTGCCAGCAGCCCTCACCCCACCCCCGCCATCACTCTCCACGCTGAAGGTTTTTAAAAAGTAAATAAGATGACATCACACAATCCTCGTGCTTAAAATCCACTGCACTTAAGTTAAACCCAAACTCCTTAACCCTGGTACTTAAACCCCTGGAGGCCTGCCCGGCTCCCAGTCTGCTCTCCTGCCCGCCCCACCCTCCTTTGCCCAGAGCCAAGTTCTCCCCTGCACCAGCAACCTACCCTGCTGCGGGCCCCCCTCCTCCCCCTCCCCACTTGGCTCTTGGCTTAAATGTTTCCCTTCTCTGAGACTCCCCGACCACCCCCTTATATGCTGGTCCCTGCAGTTTTCCTTTATGGTCTGTGACCCCGGTGGGACGCGATCCCCAGTGGTGAGGACTTTGCTGGTTCCTCCCGTGGCCCCAGCACCTTGCGCAGAGCTTGGAGCATGGTGGGCGCTCAGCTGCTTTTCACCAAGCGAACTTTTTAGCTCTTCCACTCACTGGGAGCCTATGATGTGCCTGGCACCGTGAGCCTTTCCCTGAATTACCTCTGAATTCACTTTGGAAACAAGGTATAATGGTCACCCCAGTTTTACGGCTGGAAAAACTGAGGCTCACAGGAGTGCAGTTACTTGCCCAAGACTCCCAAAATACCGTGTCATGTAGGCTGGATGTGAACCCGGGGAAATTTGCTGGAGAAGCACAGAAAGAGGGTGATGAAGGAGGGTGGGAAAGAGAGAGAGAGAGAGAGAGAGAGATTTCGTTTAAACAGAGAAAGAACATGCGAGAGAACAGGACAGAATGAGAGAAAATGAAAGAAAACACGAGAGAATGAGAGAAAGAAAGAACAAGAGAAAGAAAATGAGAGATAGAGGCAAGAGAGGTATCTTGTGAGAGACAATAAGAACATGAAAAGAGATAGAATGAGAGAGTGAGCAAAAAAGGGAGAGTGGAGTCTAGGATCTGGGCAGGGGTCTCCTCCCTGGGCCCCTGGCCCCTGTTGCCAGCCCCATGTGAGCCCCCGACCACTGCCTGGTCAGAGCTGAGGCAGCCTGAGAGAGTTGAGCTGGAAGCTTCCAGCACCTGACCCCTGGAATGCATCCCCTGGGGGGCAGGTCAGCACAGGCTGAGGATGCTTATAAGCCCCATAGAGGCCCCTGCGGGAGGCGGCAGGCTGGAGCTCAGCCCAGCAGCAGAATCCAGGAGCTCAGAGGTGGCCAGGTAAGAGGACTGATGGTCCCCCACTAAAAGTCTACTATCTTCGGGATCCAACTCCCTACAGCTCCATGTCACTGGATTCTTAGCCTCTGGGCCTTCTGTCTCCACATCTCTCTAGATAGATCTCTCACTGTCTCTAGATAGGATTCTCTCTCTCTCTCTCTCTCTCTCTCTCTCTCGGTCTCCCTCAGCCTCTCTGTCTCTCTGAACCTATGTCTCCATGTCTAACTCTCAGCTGTCTCTGAGGGCATCTCTCAAATGCTCTGTCTCTCTGGCTCTGATTCTGTCTTCCTTCTGTGCTTATCCACGGGTGGCTAGACACCATCTCTCCCCACTCATAGATGGCTAGATGCGTTCTCTAAACTTTCCTTTCTACCTAGTTCTCTCTCTCTTTTTCTCTCTGTCTCTCTAAGAAAGGGAGAGAGAAAGAGAGGGAGGGAGAGACTTGCAGATCCCCAGACACTGCTGAGGCTCAGTTCTCATCCCCAGGTGCTGACGTGATGGCCACAGCAGGAAACCCCTGGGGCTGGTTCCTGGGGTACCTCATCCTCGGTGTCACAGGTATCTGAGTGTGCATGTGTGTTGGACTGTGCTTGGGGGCACAGTGTTTGTTAATGTTCAGGCGTGACTTAGTGTCCTCCTGTTTGTGACTGCAAAGCTGCCTGTGAGACGGTACCATGTGATCTGTCCCCCGGGGCTATCCCCCTGCACCTCCTCCTATAGTGGTTAATATGTGTGTGGCACTGTGCCTGGGTGTGTGGTTGTGCCTGTGAGACTCTGACAGTTTGTGCCTCTGAATATCTGGTGGAGTGACAACAGTGTAATGATGATGTGGGGACAGGGGAAGCCAAGGGTGCGGGAGATTGTGCTTCCTGGGGAGTGATCCATTGCTGGGAATCTGTGGCTGCTTCGTCTTCAGTCCTGAGATCCCCCTCTCCTATCCCCGAGGAACTCACCTAACAGAACTATATAATGGTGTTTTGGTGTGAATGGGCTTGTGGCTGGGTGTGACTGTGGGCAAGGCTGGGAAGGATAGGAAGGCCGACTCTTTGAGCATCAGTCTGTGCAGACAAGTGACCTGATCCTGGCTCCCAGCAACTCCACTCCCTGAGCTTTAATCCACCCCAGAGGGACTTGATCCCACCGCTATGAGCCTAGACTCCTCTGTTGGAGCCCTGGCCGTGGTTTTGCACTGTGATGGCACTAGTCTCACCTCCAGAGCCCACCCCACAGCCCTGACTCTACCCCAGGAGCCCTGGTCCCACCTTCTGAGAATTCTCTACCTATAACCCTGCTCTTGAAGTCTTGATCGTGCCCCTGCGCTGTAACCCCAACCCCAGGAGCATTGATCCCACCTTCTTAGCCCACCCCCTTGCCCTGACTCACCTCCCAGGAGTCCTGACAACCCTGAGTCCCTGACCAGGCTCTCCTGCACAGTCATCACCAACCCTGGGAGCCCTAGGCCTATCACCTGGAGGAGGGCCCCTGAAACTCCGACCACACCCCCTGCACAATAACCCCACCCCCAACTCCATCCCCAGGAGTCTTGACTGCTCCTGAAGCCCTCACCACGCCCCTGCACCATAACCCCACCCCCGAGCCCTGGGCACGCCCCCAGCCCTGACTCCGCCCCCAGGAGTCCAGCTTGCTCCTGAAGCTCTGAGCACGCCCATGCGTCGTAACCCCAGCCTCAGGAGCCCTGGGCCCGTCTCCTGGGCCCGCCCCCAGCCCTGACTCCGCCCCCAGGATCGCTCGTCTCTGGTACCAGCAGCCAAATCGTAAACGGCGAGGACTGCAGCCCGCACTCGCAGCCCTGGCAGGCAGCACTGGTCATGGAAAACGAATTGTTCTGCTCGGGCGTCCTCGTGCATCCGCAGTGGGTGCTGTCAGCCGCACACTGCTTCCAGAAGTGAGTGGAGTGGGCGGGGCCTGGATGTCTCCTTGGCTGACGGCGGGAGCCGAAGATCAGGCTCATCCTGGGGTGCTCAGAGGGAAACAGCGGTGAAGGCTCTGGGAGGAGGACAGAATGATCCTGGATCTGGGGAGCCTAGAGCGAAGGGCTGGGAGGCGGGAGCCTTGCTTCGGAAGGACTCAGAGAGCCCTGAGTTGAAATCCCAGCCCAGTGCTTAGTCTCTAGTGAACTAAGCCAAGTTCTTGTCCCTGAATTTTTGTGAATGAGGATTTGAGACCATGGTTAAGTAGCTCTTAGCAGGGTGTTTTGCAAAGAGGATGGAGTTGGGGTTAGGGAATGGGGATGGGAATAGGGTTGAAGATGAGACTAGAGAGAAGGATGTAGTTGCCACAAAATCGACCTGCCCTCCTTGGCCCAGCTCCTACACCATCGGGCTGGGCCTGCACAGTCTTGATGCTGATCAAGAGCCAGGCAGCCGGATGGTGGCGGCCAGCCTCTCCGTACAGCACCCAGAATACAACAGACCCTTGCTGGCCAACGACCTCATGCTCATCAGACTGGATGAGTCCGTGTCCGAGTCTGACACCATCCGGAACATCAGCATTGCCTCCCAGTGCCCTACCATGGGGGACTCTTGCCTCGTTTCTGGCTGGGGTCTGCTGGCAAATGGTGAGCTCAGGGGTGTGTGTCTGCCCTCTTTGAGGGGTCCTCTGTCCAGTCGCGGGGGCTGACCCAGAGCTCTGCGTCCCAGGCGGAATGCCCACCGTGCTGCAGTGCGTGAACGTGTCGGTGGTGTCGGAGGAGGTCTGCAGTGAGCTCTATGACCCAGTGTACCACCCCAGCATGTTCTGCGCTGGCGGAGGGCAGGACCAGAAGGACTCCTGCAACGTGAGAGATGGGAAAGGGGAGGGCAGGCAACTCAGGGAAGGGTGGAAAAGAGGGGGACAGAGACACACAGGGCCGCGTGGTGAGATGCAGAGACAGAGACACACAGGGAGACAGTGACAACTGGCAGGAGAGACTGGGAGAAACAGAGAAATAGACATAGGAGTAAAGAGAAGCAAAGGAAGACAGAAACAGAAATAGAGACACGGGGAGGCAGAAACACACACACACACACACACACACACACACACACAATGCGGTTGACAACAGAACAACAGCATGGGGGGCGCTGTCCTCCATCCAACAGAAAATCCTCGTATAATATTTGACTCCCCAAAAACGTAACTACCAATAGCCTACTGTTGATGGGAGAGCCTTACCAATAACATAAATAGTCAATGTATGCATACATTTTATGCATTCATGATATACCTTTGTTGGAATTTTTTGATATTTCTGAGCTAAGCAGTTCATCTGCAAATTTTTTTAAATTATTGCAACTCTCTAAAATTTTTTCTAATATATTTATTGAAAAAATCCAAGTATAAGTGGACTTGTGCAGTTCAAACAAGGTTGTTCCAGGGTCAACTGTGTACTCAGAAGGAAAGATTCAGAGAGATGTAACACGAAAATAAATAGGAAAAACCAAGACTCTACAAACGGGCTGGGCGTGGTGGCTCATGCCTGTAATCCCAGCACTTTACGAGACAGAGGCAGGCAGATCACTTGAGGTAAGGAGTTCGAGCCTGGCCAACATGGTGAAATCCCGTCTCTACTAAAAATACAAAAGTTAGCCAAGTGTGGTGGTGGGCGCCTGTAATCCCAGCTATTTGGGAGACTGAGGCAGGAGAATTGCTTGAACCTGGAAGGCAGAGGTTGCAGTGAGTTGAGATCGCACCACTTCACCCAGCCTGGGCACCAGAGTGGGACTCTTTCTCAAAAAAAAAAAGACTTTCCAAAGAGATGCAGAGACACTGAGACAGAGAAACAAGCCATGAAGAAGACAGAGAAGGAGAGACAGACAAACAACAAGCCCAAGAGAAGCAGCCAGCATTCAGGATGCAGGACATGAGGGAGCAGCGTTAGGTGGCATCAGGGATCTGGAATGGGACTTCCAAGAGATATGTTGCTGGGCTGTGTTGTTGTTGTTGATGTTTCTTTGTTTCTCAGTCTCATTTAGTTCCTCTCTGATCCCATATCCATTTCCACCCCTCTGTGTTTCAGGTTCTGACTCTCTCTCTCTTCACAACAGGGTGACTCTGGGGGACCCCTGATCTGCAAAGGGTCCTTGCAGGGCCTAGTGTCTTTCGGACAAGCCCAGTGTGGCCAAGTCGGTGTGCCAGGCGTCTACACCAACCTCTGCAAATTCACTGAGTGGATAGAGAAAACCATCCAGGCCAGTTAAATATAGGGACTGGGACCCATGAAATTGACCCCCAAATACATCCTGCAGAAGGAATTCAGGAATCAGGGTTCCCAGCCTCTCCTCCATCAGACCCAGGGATCCAGGCCCCCATCCCCTCCTCCGTCAGACCCAGGGATCCAGGCCCCCATCCCCTCCTCCCTCAGACCCAGGGATCCAGGCCCCCATCCCCTCCTCCATCAGACCCAGGGATCCAGGCCCCCATCCCCTCCTCCCTCAGACCCAGGGATCCAGGCCCCCAGCTCCAACTCCCTCAGACCCAGAGCTCCAGGCCCCCATCCCCTCCTCCCTCAGACCTAGCAGTCCAATGCCACCTAGACTCTTCCTGTACACAGTGCCGCCTTGTGGCACGATGTTGACCCAACTTACCAGTATTAAAGTTGGTTTTTCACATATTTTGTCCCTTTCCCCTAGATCAGAAATAAAGTCTAAGAGAAGTGCAGGTTCTGTTTCTAGTATCCTCCTTGCTTCCCCTTCCATTCAAGAGATTCTAGCAAATGGCTTTCCCTTCATAGGTCTCAGTTTCCCTATCTGAGAAATGGGAGCTTTGACCAGGAGGGCCACAGGGTTTCAGAGGGAGTGGCCATTCCCTGAGTAGTTAAGAGAAAGCAGTGCCATGGATGTTGTCCAGTTTCTGAAAAGTCAAGTCAGCAAATGGTAACTAGAGATTTTCTTGCTTAGTTTAACTATTCAGCTTTAGTTGATATCTATTCATTTTTGTCTTCTAACTGCATTTCAAGAACTTTTAATTTGCATCTGTCTCAGGACTCAGCTGCTGTAGCTGGAGTCTGGTGGGAGGAATAGGAATAATGGAGAGGCCTACTGTGAGTGAGAGCTACAGAGACCAAGGAGCAGAGATGGGGAGGCTGAGGGGCAGAACGGGGCAACCAAGGGGCAAGGAGTTGGGAGACTAAATAAGTATACAGATAATTTGAACAACATGATTAACACACTCTACTTAATGCTCATATATGGAATGTTGCACCCAGAACCTGAAAAATGTAGAATCATTTCAAGACATAGAACTACCAGAATGGCTAAAGTCGAAAGAATGACAGCACCAAGTCTCAGTTATATCTAGAGCAGCTGTAACTCTCCTACCTTGCTGGGGGTTGGGGGTGAGGGATAAAACGGTACAACCATCAGGAGGCTGAGGCAGGAGAATTGCTTGAGCCCAGGAGTTCTTGTTATGAAGTGAGCTGTGATCACACCAGCCTGGGTGACAGAGAAAGACCCTGTCTCTAAAGGAGAAAAAATTCATAGGACCTCAGGGGATGAATGGACAGTATATATGACCTTTGTGGATGAATGGACAGGTCATTTTACTCATCCCAGGTTTACCTGGATAGACATGAACTTGATTACCAATTTTGCCTCAGATGCTTCTACAAGCAGCCTGGTGAGGTTGCCTATAAGAACAAAATGGTGACACCTGGGCCCCTGTGGCACTCCCTGCTCTGAAGCAAAGACAGACAGTTCAGATAAACTCCCTAGGACGATGCCAGACCTCAGTTAGTTGGACAGAAACATGTCCCGTCGCAGGCAGCAGGCCCCAATGGTAGAAAGGAAAGGCGTCTCTCTCTGTGTTATATGGACACATAGTCCAAACAACTTTTCATCATTATCCAGACAATGGTTTATAAAGGTGACGTTGTTTTCTGGTCACAACCGTACTGACCAAAACAAGTCCAGACAGGATAAAATAAAATAAAATAGAAGGAATGACCAGATGAAGACAAAAGTGAGCCCTGTCTGGTATAGAACATCCCTATAGCAATATCCCTGTCTCATTGCTCACTGGTATAGAACACCCTCACCAGTGCCATGACAGTTTATAAATGCCATGGCAATGACCCAGAAGTTACCTCCCTTTCCATGGCAATGACCCGGAAGTTACCTCCCCTTTCCATTGCAGTGACCCAGAAGTTACTTCTCCTTTCCATGACAGTGACCCAGAAGTTACTGCTCTTTTCCTAGAAAGTTCTTGATAAACGATCCCTCAATTTGCATTGACCCATTACTTAATTTGCATGTAATTGAAAGTGGGTTTACATGAGTATAAATATAGTTGCCAAGAGCCCATAGGTTGCTGACTCTGAGCACACTGACTACAATGTAGCCCTTCTTCTCAAGGAGAAGCACCATTCAAGGAAGATTGCTGTCTCACACCACCAGCTCACCCTTGAATCCCTTCCTGGGTGAAGCTAAGAACCCTCCCGAGCTAAGCCCCAATTTCAGGGCTAACCTGTCCTGCAATGAAGTGGCAGTCTCTTGTGATCCACATGCAAAGAATCTTAACTCCAAAATGAAGGTCTCAGTCACCAAATTCAGATTCTAGACTTTGAGCTTCATCTTCCTGGAGATCAGACTGGTGGTCCAAGCTCCAGACATCAGACCAGTCTTTGGACTCTAGAACCAAGACTTCCATTTCTGGATTCGAGGTTCCAGGTTCCAGTTTGATCAGAAGTAAACAAATTACCCCTGAGGGCCAAATTCAGCTGCTGTGTGTTTTTGTAAATAACATTTTGTTGGATCATAGTCAGAATAATTCCTTCATGTGTTGTCTATGACTGTTTTTATGCTGGGACAGCAGAAATGAGCAATTACAGCAAAGACTGTCTGGCCCACAAAGCCTAACATAATTACTTTCTGGACCTTTGCAGAAATAGTTTGCTGATGTCTGGTCTAGATTTCAGATGCTTCACTCAAACCCCAAAATCCCAGAATTCAGATCCCAGGCTCTAGATTACACAGCACCAACTGGAGATTCTGAAGGCTGAGTCCAGACCTCAGACCCAGGCTCCAAACTCTTTCCTCTGCTCTAGATTCCCAACTTCAGACCCCTGACAAGACCCCAACCACCCTCCAGAGATCCAGCGATCTCTCCAATGAGAAATCTGCTGAAAGAATGATGGAGAGAGTGTCAGCCACAGAGAGACAGATACAAAGAGAGAGAGAGTGAGTGTGTTAGCTGTCTGTCTCAAAAACAGACAGAAACAGGCAGACAGGCGGTACCCTGACCAAGAAGCTCAACTGAGAAATACAGTGATAGAAAGAGACTGTGGCCATTCTCTCATCCTCATTTATTCAGTAAGTACTTCTCAGTTACCTACTATGTGCTAGGCGCTGTTTTAGGGGCTTTGGATAAACCAGTAAACAAAACTGGGAAATACCCTTGTCCTGGTTGTAGCTGAGAGATACAAACAATAGAAAATAAATCCAATAAAATAAATGGCAAATTAGATATACATTTATACGTGTTAATGTAATATTGTACATTCTCACAAATCATATACAGTAAGTGAAATAAAAGGGAGATCAGGGAGAGGGAAGCTTGCAGTGCTAAGAAGGGAGCAGGTGTGCCATAAACTGATGAGCGGACAGATAAATGGTGGCGCAGCCACACAATGGAATCCTATCCAGCAGTAAAACTGGAACAAACCGCTGATAGCTGTGTGATCGTTGACAAGTTACTTAACCTCTCTGTTACTTAACTCTGTGAAATGGGGCTAATAATAAAATCTTCCAGTACTGCCTTAGCCTCCTGAATAGCTGGGATCACAGGTGCCCGCCACCACGCCTGGCTAATTTTTGTGCTTTTTTTTTTTTTTAAGTGAAGATGGAGTTTCTCCATGTTGACCAGGCTGGTCTCAAACTCCTGACCTTGGCTTCCTAAAGTGCTGGAATTACAGGTGTGAGCCACCGCACCAGGCCTGTTTCTGGATTATTATATCGCTCTAATTTACCATGTGACTGAATCTCTGTGCTTGTACCTATTTGGTTCAGTCTCATGTGCTGTGTGTGTCATTGTGTGAGCACCTTGTGTGAGTCACCCTGCAGCTTTGCAAAAGTGTGTAGCTGAGTGTGATGTCACATGGGAGGTTGTGCCCCTGTGCCTGTCACCTGTCCTGTGTCCCTGAGCCGGACTCCAGGGTTCTGACATGTGGCTGTGTGTTGAGCCATGCCCTGCCCACTGGCACCTTGGAAGGCTGTGTGGGACAGCGGTTAAGGAAATAAGCCGTGGAGCTGCCCTGCCCGGGTTCAAAGCCCCCTGCCCTGCCATTTCTTGCCTGGGAGCCTCTGGGCAACTTCTCTAACTTCTCTGTGCCTCAGTTTCCCCATTTCAGAATGAAGATCATGTTCCTACCCACTTTAAGTGGTAATCTGAGTGTGGGTAAATATTACAAATACTCTTCACCCGAAATGGTCATCTGAACGTGGGTTATATAATACATGCCTGTCAGCACCAGAAGGACTGGTCCATAGGTGATTGTGGAACTATGAGCTGTAATTATCACTGATATGATAATTACATATTATTATATCTCAGCCAGTGTGCTCCCTGCTGGCAGAGAGGGTTTGGAGGATGAAGGGCAGGTACAAAGGCCTCAGCTGCATAGCCATTTCTTTTCTTTTTCTTTTTCTTTCTTTTTTTTTTGTTTTTTGAAATGGACTTTCACTCTTGTTGCCCAGGCTGGTGTGCAATGGTGTGATCTCAGCTCACCAGCTCATTACAGGGCATGGTGGCTCACTCCTGTAATCCCAGCACTTTGGGAAGCCAAGGAGGGCAGATCATCTGAGGTCAGGAGTTCAAGACCAGCCCGGCCAACATGGTGAAACTCTGTCTTCACTAAAAATACAAAAATTAGCCAGGCATGGTGGTGGGTGCCTGTAATCCTAGCTGCTCAGGAGACTGAGGCAGGAGAATTGCTTGAACCTGGGAGGCAGAGGTTGCAGCGAGCTGAGATCGGGTTACTGTACTTCAATCTGGACAAGAGTGAGACTCAGAATAAAGAAAGAGAGAAAGAGAGAGACAGAGAAAGAGAAACAAAGAAGAAAGAAAGAGAAAGAAAGAAAGAAAGAAAGAAAGAGAAAGAAAAAGAAAGAAAGAAGAAAGAAAGAAAGAAAGAAAGAAGGAAGGAAGGAAGGAAGGAAGGAAGGAAGGAAGGAAGGAAGGAAGGAAGGAAAGAAGGAAGGAAGGAAAGGCAGGGCAGGGAGAAAGAAGGGAAAGAGGCCGGGCACGGTGGCTCAAGCCTGTAATCCCAGCACTTTGGGAGGCCGAGGCGGGTGGATCACGAGGTCAAGAGATCAAGACCATCCTGGTCAACAAGGTGAAACCCCGTCTCTACTAAAAGTACAAAAAATTAGCTGGGCATGGTGGCGCGTGCCTATAATCCCAGCTACTCAGGAGGCTGAGGCAGGATAATTGCCTGAACCCAGGGGGCGGAGGCTGTGGTGAGCCGAGATCACGCCATTGCACTCCAGCCTGGGTAACAAGAGCGAAACTCCGTCTCAAAAAAAAAAGGGGTGGGGGGGAGAGGGACGGAGGGGAGGGAGGGGAAGGAAGAAGGAAGGAAGGAAGGGAGGGAGGGAGAGGGAGTGGAGGGAGGGACCAAGGGAGGGAAAAGCAAAGAAAAGGGGACTGTGTGCAGAAAACCAGGA